AATTTTCAGGTTTATATATATATATATATATATATATTATCTATCATGATTCTCCGGCACCAACCCATGAAGAGCTGTAGTGCATAAGCACTAGAAACCAATCTCAGCCATACACTAAATTCGACCCACAGCTCCAGCAGAGCCGAGATTATGATCCTCCGCCGCTCATACACCCAATTATAACGAAAAAAAAAAAATAAAGAAAAAGATATTGAAAATGGAACCTCGGGTCGATCGGACGTGGAAGGAAGGAGGCCGAGCGATCGAGCGGAACGGACGGAGCTGATGATTTTCTCCCCAAACCTAGAAAGATCCATACCGCCGCCTTGAATGAAGAATAGTGGAAGGAACAACAGCGGCCCCGGGGGCTCGAGTTCATGAACGCATCGACCGCCTTCCCACGACGATTCCCGCTGCATCGCTTAACTCCCGAGCGCAGCAATGGCGAGATCGGCCATCTGACGGGATCTTCGAAGTCCAGACGAGGACGGATCGGAATCGAATCTCCGGTGAGAGGGTTCGGAGAATTGGAGTCCAGAACTCTCAATATCGCTTCGGTGAGAGGGTTCTAATCACTTTGGTTTTGTAAATAGCAATGTTTGAAGGGTTGGGTTAGTAATTAATCACATAACAATAAAATACTTAATATTTAAAAAGTTCAAATTTATGTTTTTTTATTCATAAATTTAAAATATCAAAATATTATTTATGTAAATATTAATGTTGAGGATTGACGTATAAATAAATAAGAATTGTGTGATATCTAAGTAAATATCCCTAAAAAAATGGGAAGGGAAATATGAGAATGAATTCCAAAATTGATGTTTTTTTGTTAGATATGTAAATACACAGAAATTGTGTGTCATTCATGCTAAACACTCAAAATATTATTATTTACAACCATCCATTTTCTCAAATATGAAAGTTTAGGATGAATCTTTACAATATTTTTCTTTTTTTATTAAATTGTCAATTATTTAATCATGAAATAAAATGATAGCTGGTTTTACTTATAATGGGAACATGAGACACAATTTATTGACCAGATCTATTTCAAAAAGTTGAATATTATGTTCTATCAACAAATCTATTTTCATAACACTTTAATCTTTCATAATACTTCAAGTAGTATGTCGACCAATCTTTCATAACACTTCAATCGCATGCACAGTAATTCAAATATATTGGTAGACATACTATGCTGCTCGATTACGTCGGAGCCGCCGAAGTTCTGAAATAGCTGAGAAGGTGGCGACAAAAGCGCGACGAACAAAGAACTTCAAAACTCTCGTCTGCCTCCTCCTTTGCGCCGCTCCTACCTAAACCATTGAGAAAGAGTTATGACCCCCTTTATTTTTTTATTTTTTTATTTTTTATTTTTTTAAGTTCCACCATCCAACTTTACAAGCTTCAACTTCTCTAATTCTTAGCTAATTAGATAAAAGAAGATTTACTGCATACCACACAATTCTTACGTATTTATACATTTAACATGTGATCTTCAATTTTTACATATATATGCCCATATTAGGTATGACTCATATACCGTAAATGGGACAGATGGTGAGGCAGAGTGGAGCCCCACGAGCGGAGTGAAGCGGAAGGATCTGTCCAATCGGGGCGGTTTCATTATGTGGGTTGGAGGTGCGGGGGCAACACCCCGCGGTTTGGTATAGGGGTAATTTAAGTAATTACATATTGTATTATATGGTTATATATATGTCATGTTTGTAACCCTATGTGAGATTCTGAATCTTGTATTCTGTATTATTTTCTGAAAATTGAAAAGGAAGACGCTGCTCTGCTCCCGAGAACATATGCATTTTTGTCGAACCTCGTTAAATCTTTGTTTCTTTTAGATTTGTGTCCATTCTTATTTTTCATCGTCTTAATTTCTCAACAAGTGATATCAAAGCGAGATTTTAGGGCAGAAAATTTCATCACAAGAAGAAGAAGATTTGGCGGCTCGGGTTTCAACGAATTAGAGCGAATTCGACAAAGGATTTTGGCAGGTTCGTGGCAGTTCGGATTTCTGCCAGAGGAAGTTCAAAGACGAAGAAGGCTTCGGACGGTTCGACATCAAGGGACTTGCAAATTGGGTGTTTGACGAGGCCTTTGTTCTACGACCAGTGACCAGTGAAGTTGGTGCGACCAGGAGACATTTGAGGACACGGTCCTTACCAAGGGTTCTGCGACAGCAGAAGAGGTTCGTGTAACAGGCAGATCGTTCGGCCTGGGAGACGATTTGCTCGGCAGGTTCGCTCGGCGAACTCGACAGTTATCACGAACAGGTGCGAAAGACAGAGGTGTTCAAGTGGCGGAAGAGCAAAATTGGAAGGGCGGACATGGGAGAAGGAAATTCAGGCGGAAAAAAAGTCCGCGGAAAAAGAAATTTAGTGCGGAGATATTTCAGGACTCAAGAAAGGCAAGGAAAGGGAATCTGCTGCTTTAATCGGGAAAGGAAATATTTCTTTATTGAAGAAAAGCAGAGCTTTTCTGGAAGGCGAAGTTTTTCTCAAAAGCGAAAAACAGAGCTTTTTTTAGAAGGAAAGCGAAACATTTATGTAAGAAAAAAAGAGCTTTTCTGGAAAGCAGAGGCGGAGCTTTTCTTGGAAGTTTAAAGAAAATGATTTCGGGAAAAGTTTAATTAAGAAAAATTTAATTATGGGAAAGTTTTTTTTTCTATGAAACTTAATTAAGGAAATCTTAATTAAGGGATTATTTAAAAGATTTGTGGGAGTATCAAAGTGAGTACAATTTCTGGCTCAAAAAATTTGGAATTTCATCAGAGAAATTTGTAGAGGAGTTCGTTGCAGAATCAATTTCAAATGACAAATTCATCAGAGAAATTTGCAGAGGAGTTCGTTGCAGAATCAATTTCAAATGACAATTTCTGGTATAAAATTAGAGGTGGTGAAGTTCGATGGAACTTGTAACTTCGGATTGTGGCAAACAATGATGAAAGATTTGTTGGCTCAACAGAGAACCTTGAAAGCTTTGCGGGCAACAAAACCAGATGTCATGGATGAAGAAGATTGTGAAGAATTACAACAACGAGCAATAGAAACCATACGTCTATGCATGGCGGATGAGGTTATGTATCACGTGATGAATCTAAAATCTCCAAGGGAGGTATGGAAGAAATTGGAAACTCATTTTATGTCCAAATCTCTGACGAATAAAATGTATCTGAAGTAAAAGCTGTATGGGCTGAAGATGAAAAAAGGTTTTGATCTGGCGCAGCATGTGAATGACTTCAATCAAATAATCACGGATTTATCAAGGCTTGATGTGAGTATTGAGGATGAAGACCGAGCAATGATTCTGTTGTATTCACTGACTTCTTCTTATGAACACCTGGAGACTACTCTGACATATGGGAAAAAAATCATCAGTTTATGAGATTACTGCAATTTTGTTGGCTCACAACCAGCGAAAGTAGAATGTAGGGGAAAACACTGATGGAGAGAGTTTATATGTTAAGGGTAATCAGGATCGAGAAAGGAAAGAGGAGATGGAGAGCTCTAGAAGGTGAAATTTCAGAGGCAAAAAGATGATTCATTGCTACAAATGCAAGGAGTCGTGTCATATGAAGAGAGATTGTCCAATGCTTAAGAAGCAGACTGGGGAGAAAAGTGATGCATCATCAAAGTCTGTAAATGTGATACATAGTGACAATTTAGATTGCAATGATGGTGATATGCTTTCAGTTTCATCAACTCTGTTCATGAATGCATTAATTTTTTATTCAGGATGCTCTTATCACATAACACTTAACATAGAGTGATTTACTTCATACATGTTAACTAATTTTGACTCAGTCTATTTAGGTGATGATAGATATTGCAATATTGTTTGTATTGGGGAAGTCATAATTAAGATGTATGATGACACTATTAGAACATTATTTGAGGTCAGACATATTCCAAATTTGAAGAATAATTTAATTTCCTTAGGCACTTTACATAGAAATAGTTTTATTCCTATGACAGATGGGGAAAGAGAAACCATCAGAATTGTTAAAGGTGCACTAAATGTGATGAAATGAAAGTTAACTGCAGATAATATCTATAAACTGTTGGGGAGTACAATTGTAGTTGAAATTCACTCTGTTGGATCATACGATGAAAATAAAATAGATATGTTGACCAAGCCAGATACTATCAACAAGTTTTTGTATCGCTTGAACTGGTTGAATGTTTGTAATTGTCGGACGACACTGTGGCCCAACCCATATTAGTGCATAAGAAACTCCATGATGTATTTCTCTTAAAGGGCTAGATATTCACCAATGTGAAGATTTGTTATGTATGACTTATATAACATAAATGGGACACATGTTGGAGCGGAGCCGAGCCCACGAGCGGAGTGGAGGGGAAGGAACCGTCCAATCG